CATGTACTCGAAGGCCCCCAGTGGACACCTGAAATTGGTTAGTAGTGAACTCTATAGATAGGGGTTTTTCCCCACACATGCATACCAGTGGTAAAATTAAGCCATGATACCATGTGCAGTGGGCACAGTAAGAGATTAGTACCCATAACAGAACAAGTATAACATTACTGTAGTGGAAGTTATATGAGTGTGGCCTCTTTGTTAAAATATCTTATTGTACTGTAGAGCCAAGCAGCCTCAGTGTATGATTTTTTTCTTTCATTAAGTTGAGAACTTTTACCTTTTCATGTAAAGGACAGCATTAAGTATTACAGCCTCTCTTTGGTGTATCCTGTTTTAAGTAAACAAGGGCTATTTGAACATGAGTACTTTGAGACCAGACAGACAGTCTGATAGCTGAGATTGCTTTTAAGTGGCCAAAGGCTGGTAGTGTGGACAGTGTGGATACCGATGGGGTAGTTCCTGTCCTAGGTGGGACTAAGCGGGATAGTGCGAGATTTTATCATGCTATTCAGGACAGTGTGAAGTTTAATGAAACTGTTGAATTGTATATTTCTGGAATTTTCAACACAGTATTTATGAACAGTAGTTGTCTGTGGATAATTGAAACCACAGATGGTGAGACTGCTGATAAAGGATGACCACTGTATCAGAATTTCCTTCCTTTTTGAGGTTGGTTATATTGCATTGTGTGGATAAGACCATGTTTTGCATATCCATCCATCTGTGGATAGACACTTGGGCTCTTTTCTGCCTTTTAGCTATTACCGGTAATGACGCTGTGAACATAGGTGTATAGATATCTCTGAGACTTTGTTTTCACTTCTTCTGGATGTAGACCCAGAAGCCCTGATGGCATTGCTGGGTCATACGGTAACACTTTTTTTGGGGAACCATCGTACTGTTTTTCATAGTGACTGTACCATTTACACTCCTACCTCTTCCAACATACACTTTGTTTTTGTTTGTAATAGCCATTCTAACAGGTGCCAGTTATTGCTTTTTAAACTATTACCTCTAATTTCTTCTTTTTGAATTCCATTAAAGCTTATGTTCTTTCCTTTCTATCCTCTTTCTGTTATAAGAGCTTTGCATTTTCTATCCTTTTGCCTCTGAGCTTTGTTCTGGATCTTCTGATCAAACTTGGTTTTCTCTTTAACTTTCTCATCTATATCCATTGTGCTTTAAACAAAGCCCATCCATTAAGTATTAATTTTATCTATTACTTTTTTTAATAAAATTGATGTCGCTTTTGAAAAGCTGTCATTTGTCTCCTCCAAATTTTAGTTGTATGTGTTATCTTTTTAGACATGGTAAGAATTGTTATCCAGAGTTCAAATGAATCTTTTTTTTTGGCACTGGGGATCAAACTCGGGATTTTGCACTTGGGAGGCAGGCGGCTTACCTGACTGCTGAGCTAACTCCTCAGTTTGCAAATGAAGGGGCTACCTCTTTATTTCTGTTAGTTTTCACCCATGTTGCCCTGTGTGTTTGGTTAGCTTTCGTTGGGTTTTGGGTGTTATCTTTGAAAAATTGTTAACAGAAATAAATTGAGGACTAGACTGTGATGTTCTTTCCACTCGGAAGTGATTTGTGTTTTTATCTGGGGCTTTAGAGCACACATAATAGGAATTAGAACTTTTATGGGCCACCTGAATGCTAAGATAAAGCCTTTTGGGTTTCTAACCTAAGTTATAGGTTACCTAACCACCAATCTTGGAGGATTTGGGGACTAATTTTTTGTCCTCCTAGATGATTCAAAGTTATCAAAAGTAATTCTCAGCCAATGGTTAGGCATGTGGATTGCCAGTTGGAGGTCAGCCTGGTGCCTGTACTTTATTATTTTTTTAATTTAAAATCTTTATCAGTACATGTTTATAGTACATATGATTACATTCATTGTGGGGAGTTGGTACACGTGTACAATGCTTTTTAATTCTTTCTACTTCCCTTTCTGTGTTAGAACTGTAGTCCTCTTATGTTTCTTCACCTGGTGGTGGTTCTCTGATACTTGTATTCCATACTTGGCATATTTGTTTTCAGCAGGAGGGCTGGACCTGATTACTTAGCTATATCATCTCCTTTACAAAAGCACTTTTAAATTTTTTATTATAAAGAAAACGTGTTGGGGCTGAGAGTGTATCTCCAGGTAGAGTGGGTTGCTGAGCCTGTGAGAAGGCAGGGGTATGGGGAAAAAAATAAGAACCAAGATATATCATGTAAAGGTACAAGATTCCAACGATGAATGTAACTGTACTGTATACCTAAAATGTACCAATAAACTCAATGGAAAAAAAATAAAATAAGGGATTCATGGATCACCATCTGCCTTGTTCCCAGCATTGGCTATATATTTGGAAATTCTGAGTAAGTGCAAGAGAATGTTCCTTGCTTTCTAGGAGTCTAGCTGGGGAAACAAACATAAACACATTTGATGAGAGAAAAGATATTGGAGGAGGTGCTCACAGGTCATGCAGAGTTGTTAATGGCTTGGTGATAACTACAGGCAGTAAATGCTGAGTGGGAAGCTGATCCCCTCCCTTCCACTCCCCCATCTTCCCGGGCTGGCCTTGTGTCCTGTCTAGAAGCTCAGGGGTCCCTTGGCACCTCTGCGTTGCAGCCCTTCAGTGGCTCCCCTCCTTCTCTCTTGGGGACGTCCCTGCAACTCTCCTCCCGGCTAATTCGCCCTCTGCTTGCTCCTGGTAGGTGCTCTTTACCCACCTTGAGTGTGAGGCCAGCATTCTCCCTCTCTCCTCTCCCTCCCTTTCTTCCTCTTCCTCTTGCTTTTGAATCTCAGGCTTTCACGCTAAGCTACCTCCTCACTCTTTTTTCATTTTTTATTTCGAGACAAGGGCTCATTAAGTCCCTGAATTGCCCAGGCTGGGTTTGAACATACGATTCTACCACTGTGTTCTCTGTGAGCCCAGTCCTGTTCCATCAGGAATTTCTCATCGGCCCCTGTCACCCTGATGGCCAGCTGTGTGCTCCAGCCTTACCGCATGCAGAGCAGTATTTCAGGCACTTTGCATATTCACTTTTCAGTGTTCACAGCAGCCTATGAGGTAGCTGTTACTATTTCCCCTGTTTTACAAATGAGGATATTAAGGCACAGATTACAGCTAATTATTAGTGTGTTTTTTTTCTGGGCAAGAACTTTCTTCATGCTTTCCCTTTCTCATTAGGGAAATGGAACTAGGAGAAGAACCTCAGGTGTCAGGATACGCACTGGTGGCTGATGACTAGGTTTGTGGCCATGGGTGAACCAGACAATTCTGTGGTGAATCCGTTTGCTTCCTCCCAAAGTCCAGTTGTTTACTGTGCCCTGAAGTTACCTGGCACTGCCTTCTGTCCTCTTTCCAGCATCTTTGGTTTCTCTGGCTATTTCTCTGTGGTTTTGCTGCATCTGCCAGTCTTCCTGGGGACTGTTATTCTGGAAAGGGGGAAGGTCTGTGTTACCCTAGATTTAGCAGCCAGATTAATTGACCCAGACTTTCATACCTGAAAACACAGTAGTCCTCTTACATCTCAGTCTTGAATGATTTTTGAACGGTGTGGGGGGAACCAAAGTTGGCCTTGTTAGTATTTTCGTATGACTCAGGCTGCCTCCCACCAGTGGTGCAACTGTACACATGCTTATGATTTCATCAGGAGAGCATCAATCCAATTAAGTGATGGGCTGGTCTTTTTAAAAAGTGAAGTATATTTCAGAATTGTTTTGGATTTACAGAAACGTTGTCGGGCCCCCGGTCCCAAGCACCCCCAAGTACCTCACCCATTTGATGTCAGGACCTTGTGCTGGCAAGACGAGCGGTGGAACCACTTAGCTAAACCCCCAGCCCAAACTTTGATATTATTAACGAAAGGCCATGCTATTCAAATGCCCTTAGCTTTTACCCAAGGAAGAAGTACCATTTTTCTGTTGCCAGAATCCCGTCCAGGACGACACATCGCACTTACCGTGCCTGTCTTGGTGCTCTTTGTTGCGATAGTTTAGTATAACTAGCTCGGGTGTACTGCTTTTATGGAGGACTACCACACTAAAGCGCCTTTTCCCTCACAGTCTTCCTTAGCAGTTAATACCTTGGTTTGTATGGTGCTAGTTGGGCCGCCCATTTTAAAAGTAGCAGATATCAAGGGAGATCGGCTTTTTCTCAGGTTTAAGAAGTTGCACACACCTGTAGCGTAGTTTCTATGTTGTAGTCAGGGGACGTTGAGTGGGTTTGGGCGCCCCCTGTGGACAAACCAGAAGTAAAGTTATACATGAGACGTTTTTGTTTTGTTTTGTTTTTTTTTTTAATTTACAAGACGGGAAAAAGGTATTTCTTTTTTCCAAAAATTGCACCAAGGTAAAGCAGAGCTTTAATTGATGCGAACGTGTTGTGTAGGCGTTAGCAGTACTGTCCTCACTAAGCGTTCATTGGACAGTAGCGCAACCCCAAGAAAAGGATGGTTATCAATTCTTGTACGTACACTGTGACCAGGAAGCGCCAATACTGGGTTGGGTTGTGGTGACTAACTGAGGACTCCCGCCCTAGCCTGTCTCTTAGCTAGCGTAGCTCCAGTAACCACGACTGTGAACGTAAACCGCTACTTTTTAACCCCCTGGGGCTCGGAGAGACCGCGAAACAGCCTCTACGTTTTACCCATAAGACCACACGCCAGTTGGTGAAAATTTGCATACGGGCTCCTCAAGGGCGGAGCTGGTGGGGCGGGGCGGGGCGGGGCCACAGCAGCGCGCTCTAGAATTGTGCTCGGACTATGGTCTTGCTGTGGCTGCTTTTTATTTCATTTCTTGTCACATTATATTTTCTGTTAAAACTGTAAACGGCTCTTTTCGTGCAGGGCCATCCGCACCCTTGATAACAGTTTAGCCTTCCCAGTTGGCGCGAGCGCTCCTGCCAGCGCTGGGCCAGACATGCGCGGGCGTCATCGGACTGGGCTGGCGGCTGCGCTGCGGCCTGGGCCGGCCGCTAACTGGCTCCCGGTGTTTCCCGTTGCAGGTAGTTCTTTTGGGCATGGACATCCTGTCGGCTCTGGTGACCCGGCTACAGGATCGGTTCAAGGCGCAGATCGGCACAGGTGAGCTGTGAGCGGGAGCGGAGCTGGCCCCAGCCTTCCCCTCATTCTGCTCAGTTCCTCTGCTAGGCTGCGCCCATCGCTTCCACACAGCTGCCCAGCCTCCCTTGCACTCCCAGCCCTTCTTCCAGCCTCCTAGACGCTCCCAGCCTTCTCCTCCGTGGCCTCCCTACACTTTCTGGGCTCGTATCTCATTACTGCACCCTCAGCTGTTTTACCCGCCCCGCTTTATATATTTGCGCTGGTTTCTCCCAGCCTTTGTGTTGTAATGTGGAATGTTACTAATGTGTTCCATGTGAAATATTGCTTCCACTTTGATTTCTTATGCAAAATTAACCATCTTCCTTTAATGCCAACCAAATTATATTTGTCCTCAACCCTTCTTTTACTGAGAGGCAGTTTTCTTTGACAAATTCTGCAAAACTGAGGTGGTTAGGTTTTCCCCAAATTTTTGTTGGCATTCCTGTTCTCACCTTGGCTGTAAATGACATGACAAGTGTGGGGTGAAGGCTCGCTTTTCTTTTGAAAAGACAATATTGCCAGCAAAATAGGAAAGCAGAGATTTCATAGATTCAACCCCTGATATTCTCAACCCCTAATACTTCTTGATGGCAGTATAAATGCCAAGCAGTTCTGTTTGTGGGAGCATTTCTTTATAGAATTTCCTGCTTTTTAAAAGGGTTAGGGACCCAACTGTAGGCTTTGCATGTGCTCTGTGAACACTTGACTGCTTTGTTACCCCCCCAGTTGGAATTTATCCATTTCTGCTCTGGTGAGAGAGCTCTTTTAGAAATGATGGTGAACCAGCTATATCTTGTCTGGAACAACGTACCTATATAGCTAGAAATTTAAAAATAACTATTTTAGAAATTTGTTATTTTAATAGTGTTTCATTTTCCTCCCGAATTAGTTGAATTATTCAAGGATGTTCTTGTAATAGAGCTTTATAGATTCTTAAAAGAAGCCAAGTCAGCTGACCTCTGTTGTACAGCTACCCTCTGAGAGCCTGTGGCTGAGGGGCAGCCTGTACTCATTCACTGTGTGAAGGTGCCGTAGAGAGCAGGGCTCCATCTGGGGTGTGTAAAATAAAAAAAGCACACGGTGCCAGTGAAACATACATTGAACAATATGTGTCCACCTCTTTTCCCCAAACAGGTCTGCTGGGCCCTCCTCCCCTCTCTTACTCAGATTTCCTTTTGTGTTGTCTCTTACCTGCCTTACATACATACATGTATGTCACTAGCTTACAGATACGTTGATAGCTGGCTGGTGGACAGTGGAGTAGAGGAGATTGCTTGTCCACGCAAAGGATTTTTGCAGATTCTTACAATAACTATTATAATTTTCAGCAAGGAGAGTAGGGCTTTTTGTAAAGATGGGTGGATATAGACTGAAATGTATCAGGCCAGGGATTTTTATCTTCTCAGTTTCTTGAAATATTAGTATTTGGTGACCACAGGTCCCCGAAATCACTTTCATTTGATCAGTTTTCATTTTGGTTTTCAGTGCTGCCAAGCCTAATAGACAGACTGGGAGATTCTAAAGACCCTGTGAGAGAACAAGACCAAACTCTGCTGCTAAAGATCATGGATCAAGCTGCTAATCCCCAGGTATGTCTAGAGAAGCATTTGAGGGCCAGTGGGTGCCTTCTTGCACAAACAGTGTGTGGGTACATAAACTTAATTTTTTCCAAGTTGATGTATTAGAGGTGGCCATTTTCATATTTAATCTGTTTCCCCATATGAGTGTCAAGTAAATAAATCAGTAGAAAAACTTTAATCTCTTAGACTCTTTAACTCATTTATATGACTGGCTCTCCATTTCTTGAGAAAATGCTGCTACACATCTGGGGAGCCAGGAGGCAGCTGGAGTTCTGGTCTCTGTCTCCTTGTGAGCTGGGCTGCTGGAATAGACAGATGAAGCCCTGTCTCCCAGCGTCCTGCTGTCCATTCCAGGGGTGGGGTGGATTTCATCAGCAAGAGCCTTCCCAGGAGAGAGAAAACTCAAATTGCTATAAAAGGTGACCAAGTGTTTCACTTGTGCATGAGTGATGTCTTAGTTACTTTTTTTGTTGCTGAGACAAAATACCTAACACATACAAGTTAAAAGGAGAAAAGGGTTATGTCAGTTCACAGTTTGAAGAGGTTTCAGTCCACATCTGGCTGGCTGCAAGACAGGGCCGGATGGCAGAGGAGCGTTGTAGAGGAGAAACAGTCCATGGCAAGGCAAGCAGAAGCAGGAAGGCAGAAAGCAGCAACCTTCCCCTTCCCTTTTATCCTGTCCTGGCTACAAGCCTTTTGGGTGGTACTCTGCATACCCAGGGTGGGCCTTCTATTATCTACACCCAGAACTATGCTAAACCAATTTAATTATCACACACCTTAATCCCAGTATCATACCCCCTTAGCTTCAGCCACCTCTGAATAGTCCACCTATGATCGTATGAGGCTCTGGGGGCATCTAGATATAAGCTATAACTGGTGAGGAGAACAGTGTGGGTGGGTATGTGACCTTTGGCAAGCCATATGTTCTCTTTTTGGACTTTTCTCACCTGTAGTACGGGACCAGCAAAACTTCTTTCTAGATTTGTTGAGGGAATTATATGCATTTATGTAAATTTGTGTGTTTTGAACATTTTAACTTGATATATTCTATCAAATAATATGTCACCATTCTGGTTTTTTTTTTTTTTTTTTTTTTTTTTTTTTTTTTTTATTTTTTTTTTTTTTTTTTTTTTTTTGTACTGGGGATCGAACTTGGGTCCTTGTGCTTGCCAGGCAGGAGTGAAACCACTGAGCTAAATCCCCGGCCCTGAGTCACCATTCTGAATGCTCTTAGAGGATCCAGTGTAGAGGGCAGGACCAGTTTGGCACCTGCTACAAGGTTCCTGTTTTGTTGACCCTACTAAGCAGTCTTCTTTTCTTTCACCTATTTTTCATCACCTACAGTATGTATGGGACAGAATGCTTGGAGGCTTTAAACACAAGAATTTTCGCACGAGAGAAGGCATCTGTCTCTGCCTCATTGCAACACTCAATGCGTAAGTCTGGGGTGACCTTAACTTTTTACTTAGCTGAAGCTTTTTTAAAAAAACTTTTATTTTGAAGTTATAGATTCAGGGGAAGTTGCATAGAAATGTACTAGGAGATATTCTTCCCCTCTCTCCAACCCTTCCCCACTGTTAAATGTTTTGCATACCCATTATACAGTATCAACGCCAGGAAAGTGGTTTTGGTACAGTCTGCAGAACTTACACAGATAGTCCAGGTGACAGGTGTCACTGTGGTACTCCTCGCCTGCTCCTCCCTAGCCATATCCTAACTCCTGTCAACAGCTAGTCTGTGCTGTGATTTTATCATTTCAAGATTGCTGTATAAATGGAATCGTAGATTATGTCACTTTTTGAGATTGCCCTTTATCATTCAACGCAATTCTTTTCAGGTTGCAATGTATGTTGTTTATTGTGACAATAATTCATTTTGTTTTATTGCTGAGAATTCCATACTGTAGATATATCTCAGTTTATTTAACTATTTGCCTGTTGGAAAATTTAGGTGGTTTCTAGTTTGTGACTATTGAGAAGAAAGTTGTTACAAACCTGTATAAATTTTGTATAAACATGAGTTTTCATTTTTCTTGGATCAGTGCCCAAGGGTGCAATGGCAGGGGCATTTGGTAAGGCCATTTTTAATTTGAAAAGAAACCACCAATTTCTTTTCAAGAGTGGTCTGTGCTACTTTACATAATATATTCACAAAGAATATTTGTGACAGCAGGGCTTTTTTGGATAAAAGTTGTGAATACCTTGAAGGTCCTCCAGGAGGGTCAGTGTGCGGTTGGAGGCCTGTGGCTGCTGCCGTCAGTCCGTCCTGTGGTTCAGCAGCATTAATGGAATGTCACCTTGCCGCAGCACACAAGGACCCTCCACTGAGGACTGTCCAGGGACTTGCAGCTTGGTTGGCTCCCCTAGGTTTGGTGGCACAGGAGGTGTGACCTGACAAAGTGACATAGAGCTGGCATATCATTGTGAGGCAAGCAGGAGGGTCAGGTGAGGCGGGGCTGCCAGCCTAGCCATGAAGAGGCAGGGCCACTGAAGCTGTTGCCCTGCGAACGGGCCATCAGAGTGCATTTCCTTTGGAGCCAGCATTGGGTGGGATGGAGAGAACCCTGGTATAAAGGGTTGACAGGGCCCAGAGCAGGCAGAGGAAGGGCAACTGTGGAATAAGAGCATCTCTCTTTTGTCCTCACTAACAATGCACACCTTTTGTTTTCAGCTCTGGAGCACATACTCTAACACTAAACAAGATTGTGCCACATATATGTAATTTACTTGGAGACCCAAACAGCCAGGTGAGTGAGACGGAAAATCTTAGGGAAAAATCATTGGTTCAGATGTAGTCAGGTGTTCTGTATATGTCTAGTAGGTGGGTGGACTTTATTCATCTTTATAGAGCTCTGATTATTGTTTAAGATACCAGCTACTCGTTTGTTTTTAAAACATTATTAGCAGGGGAGGAGGGGGTAAAGGGAGGGTGGGGACAAGGGGAAAAAATGAGAACCAAGACCTGGCATGTAAAGGTACAAGATCCCAGTAACGAATGTAACTGTACTGTCTACCTAGAATGTACCAATAAATTAAAATTAAAAAAAATTATCAGCAAGTGTGACCACTCACCCTGCCTTCTTCTACTGGTAGGATTGAAAAATCACTCTTGTAAATTGATGTCATCAGATCAGCCTCCAAGATAAAACCAATATGGTCACTATTGCTGCAGCCAAAAAGGATGGAAGTAGGGTAGGGGGAGAGTAATTAGTAATTAGAAAGGCACCTGAGGGGACTTTCTGTGCTTTGGGTGGTAGCTATACTGGGGTATGTTACTGTTGAAGGTCCCTGAACAGCACCCTTAAGAACTGTGCTTTACGTAAGTTTTAAAATTAAAAGAAAAACACAAACACTGTCTCCTTAGCGTAAACATGCGGGACAGGATCTGGACATCTGCTCTGTGGTCGGAAGGTGTCCCCACCTGGTGACACCGGCTCTGTGGTTATTCAGCACGTTGGGAAGCTTGCCACATCTGGTCTACAGCAAGGCCGTCTCTCTCACCTGGCTCAGTTCTCATCCAGAGTCATTTCTTCTCTTTCTTTTTCTCTCCCCCTTTTTTCTTTCTTTTTCTTTTTGAGAGTCATTTTTATTACACCAACTCATATAAATGAATAGAAAAACACTTCTTTCATTAGAAAGGCAGAAAATGGGGCAGTAATTTACAAGAGACATGCACACAGAAAGCAGATGTCTCCGCTGAAGTCTTGAGTGCACGTTGCCCTTTGAGGAAATTCTGTGAGTTCGCCTTCAGCTTGACTCCCACGGGCACTGAGTTCCCTCCGGGTCTGCACTCCTCCTCTGTCTGCTTCCTCCTCATCCTTGCTCTTGGGCCCAGTGGCTGACGGCGTATCCCCTTCTCTTCGGCATCTCTGTGCTGCATGTGTCTTTTGTCTCCCTTGTTTCATCCAGCCGTCACTGAAGATGTATGGCATGGAAATGCAGTTTTTAAATGGATTCAACATCAGTTTAAAGATTACCTCAACACTCTAACATCTGCTGTCCCCACTGCTGCTTTTAGTTTTGTTTTCTGTAGGAAAACATTTTTGGCATTGAAGCCATTCAGATAGGCCTTCAAGGAAGTCTGTGTAATTTTTCACAGGTCTTTCTTCTGGTGTTTTCTGTTGGGAAAGCCTCACTTAGCAGTCCCTGTCCCATTGCCAGCACTGGGAAGTTCCCTGAAGATTCTGTAGATGAGAAGGGAGGGACTGATCTGTGCTTGTGTTGGTCATTTCCCTGGTTCAGCTTTTCTCCTGTAGGTCTAGAGAAGCTAGTAAGATCTCTAGACATTGTAGCAAAGTTTTTCTTATTTTAGAAGCAGTGCAGGTTAAATTTCACATGAATAGTGTCATCCCACATTGTAAAAATGTTGATTCAGTTGTTGAAGAAAGTAAGATGATATTAAGGGTTAGAGAGTTCAAAGTAGTGTTTTAAAGATGCCACAGGTAGAGTATGTGTAAAACTTGGAGCTGCCTTGTGCAGTGCAAGAAGCCCGCTTTAGAGACATAGGCCTGTCATCGTTCCTGCCTTTGCATGTGACAGCAGCTGACCTTGGTAGACATTTGCATCTTGATCCTCAGTTTCCCTGTTAGTGAGGGCAGTCATAAGTGCTTTGCTCTCTATTCCTTGTGCAAGTTCTTGGGGGTGGGGCTGTGATTCTTTTAGTTGCTGGCAGGACATGTTAGACCCTTAGAAGTTAATCAACAGCATGACTTAAGATGTTCCTTTTCATTTGAAGAAATCACACACCTGCCACACTGAGTGGGTTTCTGAGAAACTCTTAGATGTGCATGTATTTCATTATATGAGAATACTTAATTGTAGGATAATATTAGTGTTTGAAATGTATTTGTGATATTGGCATGACCTTAACTTTCCTTGTTACAAATGTTGGGAGTCCTGGTTAAACTGTACACATGCATCCATTACCAAGAATCTGTGTCATTATCAAAAGTCAAGTGCTCCTGGACTGACTGATTATCAATAGTAATAATACAACTTGAAAACCAAAGTAACACCCTCAAATGGAATTGCATCTTATATTCATAAATAACTGTCATAAAGATTGCTTAATTTTGTTCTTAAATGATGGAGATCTTTTTTTTTATAAGATGGCAAATGTAAGACTTGTTTAACATGTTTAAGGAGGCCATGCATGCATGATTGTCCCATTGTGCAGCTTGTACCCCTGGTAGTTCAAGCCTACAGGAACATGTTTAAAGGGTTGTGTCACGCTGGCAGTTCTAGACACTACTTCCTGAATAGCAGCTACTGTGTGTTTGAAGCTTGTGCGCTTCCAATTTGGGAGAAAGATCCTGTTTGTTTTTTCGCTTTTCTCCCTTATCTGTAAAGTGAGGCTGGTGCTCTACAGGCAGATTTTAGTATTATGTAAGAAGATAGGAGTCATCCAGGGATTCCAGGCTTTGCACTCTGAAAAAAAGTTTTCCCCCTAGAGTTTAGGTGAGTTTAAATTTGGGACATGGATGTTTCTAACTTCTTCTGAAAGTGTAGACACTATGCCAGTTGCTGTTCCTGCATTTCTCTGTGGCCGAGTGGTAGTGGCCTTGTGTGCCCAAACCTCCACTTTTGCTCTTAACCGTGCCAGCCAGGTCCCCTACTCGTGCCATGTCATCCCATGTGGAACCTACTCCACTCGTGTATGTTGTACCACCTGGCCTGTATGGGCATTTCGGTTCATCTTCACCTGATAAGCACTCAAATACTTGTTGAGGGGAACCATTATTTCTTTCAACCTTCATAGCTTCCTTCAGATTCAGAGGAAATTGAGTTGAGAATTGTTAAAGAGTTGTTTCCAGGGTCACACAGCTCCATAGTAGCCAAGTTATTCTTTATGTCTACTTCTTTGGTTCTGAAAAAAATAATTCTTGGCACTATTTCTCCACTGATTTGTGGGTGGGGTACTAAGGATTGAATCTGGGACCTTTGCACTGAGCTACATTCCTATGCCCTTTTTTATTTTGAGAAAATGTCTTGCTAAGTAACTGAGTTGCCCAGACTGGGGTCAAAATTGCAATCCTCCTGCTTTTAACCAATTATGGCTCAGACTTTTCTGAGTAACTGGCTAGATACTGATTGCTCTTCAAGGAGATCACACAGTATGATGAGCAGATGTAATCATTAGAAAGTAAGCAGAGATAGATGATGCATCTATTCCTGGTCTTTATGACACAGTGACTTGACTACTTTTGTAGTACATATTTGTTTTTATGTGAAAATGTTTTTCAACTTTAGAAATCATTTCTTTTCTAAAATAACTGATAATGTGCTAGGCACCTCTGACTGCCATAACTGTGGCTAAAATAGCAAAGCTTTTATTTTCTCATGGCTTGCGGAATCTGGAAGTCTGAGATCAGGGTGGCATCATGGTGGGATTTGGGTGAGGGCCTCTTCCTGGCTTGCAGACTGCTAACCTCTCTGTGTGCAGTATGACCTCTTATTTGTGTGTGCATTGCTCTGTTTTTACTCTTAAGGTCTCTCTAATCCATTCATTTCATGGCCATGCCTTTGTGATGTCCTTCAACCTTAATTTCCTCCTTAGAGCCCTTATTGGCACATATAGTAACTTTAGGGGGTAGGGCTCCAACATGTGAATTTTGGTGGACACAAATCATCCCACAGCATACTGTTTTGGAGGACAACATATTATGACTTAGAATTTATCTTTTCCAACAGAGGGGGAAAAAATGATGAATGAAGTTACATATTACTGGACAGTGATAAATGGTAACTGGCATTATTCCAAACTGTAAAATATTTATATGCCTACTTTTTCCTACTTCTCCATTACATTGATTTCGTTGCTCAAAACTGAATCTAAAAATCATGTTGCTCTCATCTTTGTCTACTAAAGTACATACAATCCCTCACCAAGACCACCTGACCTTCATTTCATTTTGTATTAAATTATTCTCCCTATTTTTATTTGAAAACTTTTAAACTTATGGAAAAATTAGAGTAATATCATGAACACCCAAATTTTACACTTAACATTTTGTCACATTTGTTTTACATCTGTGATTGTATACGTATATATATGCAACTGTACATTTTTTTCTGAACTGTTGGAAAGTGACACACAGATATAGTATTTTTACCTCTAGAAACTTTAGTGTGTATCATCTCATAACAAGGTTCTTTAAAATATAACCATATAATTTTGCACTCAAGGAATTTAAAAACATTGATATAGTGATATTGCTTGACATATATAGTCCCTACTCAAATTTCTCCAAATTAAGCAGGGAGATAGGGAAGAACTTTCCTGTTCCCTAAGCCTTATTTTGTGCAGCTTTCTTGGCTCATGTTTGTGTCTGACTGGATGGCCATGCTTGAAGCATTTGCTGGCACCTCTGCTTTTTTGTCTTTGCCCAGCCTGTGTCTTGTTTGGAACCTGGCACCTGTGTTATTCCATCTCAACCTGGTGACATCCTCTCCTTCCAGGCATATTCCAGTACGCCCGACCCCTTCTGTAAAGCATTTCCTGACATCGGCTGATTTGATTGTTCCCACTTTCTACTGTGCTCTTTGTGCTCTCTCCCTGACAGTAAATGAAAATGTTACGGACTTCTTTCCTTGCTCTTTTGAGGACTGTAAGCTCCTTGAATATGGGATCTCTGTAGTCTGTACTATACATTTTTGATGCTCACTAAATATTTTGTTTATGAGTCTTAAATACCGAGTGTTTTACATGATAATTTACTTTTAGTTATAATTCATTTATTTGTAGTATTCTTTATGTTTTGGAACAATGGCCTGGAAATTCTAATTTCCTGATGTACATCCTAAAAAATGGAAAGTACTAAAGGGTATGGACTTTAACATGTACATTGGATTGGGACCCTTGGGATTGTGTCCGTGGAGGGAGATGGTTCAACATTACTGTCTGGTCCAATATGTATAAAGGGATTCCATTCATAATTACACTGGTAAATTGGTGTTAAATTGGGGTGGGATGCGGCCTGTTGTGTCCCAGCAGGAAGTGCTAGGGAATGACACAGAGCAGCTGTAAGATCTCTTCTCTTACATCTAGGTTCGAGATGCAGCAATAAACAGCTTAGTGGAAATTTACAGACATGTAGGAGAACCTGTGAGGACAGATCTCAGTAAAAAAGGATTGCCACAGTCCCGGTGAGTGCAGACTTTTTCCTTTTTTCTGCGTTCCCCCTTACTCTTCTTCAGATACTACATTGGTCTTTACTACTATTTTTGCTGTAATATTATTCAAAGACTCCATGGCTAGAGGGATGGTGTTTGGAGATCTTGTCTGGATCGTATGTCAGCAGTTCCTTCCCATTTCACCCTCTCAGAAATAAGTTTCTCACGCACACTTCTTGCTCAGTCCTGTGCCTCCTCCTGATTTGGGGAGCGCCTTTAAAAGTGATTGGTGTTGAAACATTCAACACTCTCATGGTTTCTTTACACATGATGCTTAGTATAGTAGGTGCTTGCAATATATTTATTTAAATGAGTGAAGCTTTTCCAAAATGCATCTGGCTAGAAATACATGAATAATAGTTCTGGAAAATAAATATCTTTGAAATGTTTTCATGTTACTTTCAGTCCATAGAAGGCAATGCAAGGAGGGCACTCACATTTTACCAGACCCAAGACAGCTTGAGTCCACAGTGTCTCATTATTATAGTAAGAATTTTTAAAGTACTGTAACAGTTAGACATCTATCATTTTAACTTTGTTGGAGAAAATGCCAAATGAATTGTAAACCTTTGCCATACACTGTAGCCGTAAGGGAGAAAGTGATACGAAATTGCAGCCAGTCGGAGTGGCAGTGCTACTCACGGAGCAGCTGGTCTGTCCTGTCCTTTGTCTGTGTGGACAGCAGGTGTCCAGAGACATGAACTGACTTTTGGGAGACTTCATAGTTAGAGTCAGAGCCAAGATTAAAACCTGTCCTTCAGATTAGTCTTAATTTTCTGTGCCCTGTTTTACAAAAGTTTACAGAATATTGTGATGGAGAACTGAGAATAGAATATAGGAGTCATCTGTCTCGGCTCCATCAGGCTGTTATGGTAGAAGTGAGTTGTGGTTTTCTGGTGTGGAGTCAGACCTGATCCCAGTGTTATTTTCACTGTGGCTCCTGTGCTATGTATAAGATAATTATGTGGGAATAAAACTGCTTTTCATCTATTTGATCAGAGATAATCTATGAAGCTGGAGTTACAAATTGAGCATCCCTAATCTGAAATACTCTGAAATCCAAAACTTGAGAGTTTGTGCTGAACTGGGAAAGTCTATATAAATACTCCTCCCCCACAAAACAAGAACCCCAGAAATCCTGCATAACGTCTGAAACATTTCTGTTTCCATGCACATCATATAAGGGAGACTCACCTTGTGTGTATCTGGTTTTTGAAGCTCAGCCTTCTGGTCACTGAATATGGTGAGAACACTTAGGGGTTAGAGGAACTTAATGACAGTACTGACAATCTCTTCGGGAAAATCAGAGGATGCAGATAAGCGGAGAGGGCCCTTGGAAGATGAAGTCAGCTGTGTCCCTTTCCTGCTGCAGGGATGCTTCACATTGCTGTGTGGCTCATGCTGGCCCCATGGCATGAAACACCACCTTTTACAGTTACTGTCTTCCCATACATTGTTGGAAGGTAACTGTAGCAGATTAGAAATCAGGGCAAAATGACCCAGAGAAACCAATATATGGGGAGGTGAGTATAGAAGGCCTGAGCTCATTGACCTGAGTAGAACCTGCTTACAAGGCTGGCTTTACGCTGGCTGATTGGAAACTCGGGTTTGGGGAAGGTTCCCTCCATTCCCAGAGAGTGAGATGAGAGAGGCTTATGGTGCCCCAGCTGGACAATACAGTATGGTTTGTGCTGCACAACCATTCTCCTTCAGGAGCCGGGGGTATCTACATGACCAACCTGCTGTAAACACCTGGGCACCATCTCTGATCAAGTTTCCTGGTAGGCAGCATGTCACTTTGGACGTCACAGCTCGGTACTGGGTGATGTAGGCATGTTTTGTGTGATTTCTAGGGACTGGCAGTCTCTGCTGACTTCATCCCAGGCTCCATTCTTTGCCGCCTGTTCCCTGTGTCCTTTTGCTATAGTAAATCATGGCTGTGGGGATGCCTGTTGAGTTCCACGAGTTGACCTGGTGAAGCAGTAAATCTGAGGTGGTCCTGGGGATCCCAAAACTAGGTGCTGAGACAAGGCCCCTGAAGCAGAATGCCAGAGCTGGCTGTGAAGCCGCCTTCCCCAGCTTCTCTTCCGCACTCTTAAATATCGAAAAGGAATCTGCAGAAGAGCTTGGACTTCTGAATAGGGTCAGAGGTTGCCTAACATCTTTCCTAAATATTAGCAAAAATGAAGATGGTCGTAGGGAAATGGCCACATCCTTCGTAGCCATTGTAAAGCTGGTATACTCCCAAGTCTGGAAAACTGTTCTTTAGCAACTATATTTAGTGAAACTTCATATTTCTTTGTGCATATTACAAAATCTTAATCTAAGATCTGATACTTTCAGGGTTAAAGGTCTGGTTAGTACCTTTATTTTGTTGGGGATATACCTAGGTAAACTGGGACTTTTGAAGTATCATACCCTGGTTCAGGAAATTCAGTATCTGCTATATTATGAGGCTTTGTGTATGTGATTTCTCTTTATCATGGGTTGTTATTTTGTGAGTATAATGGGATTTTCAGAGTAGCAGAATTCTGTAGTAATAATAAAATGTTGTAGGTTAGGATTTTGTCCTGGAATAAAAATCTTTGTCTACTATGAATTTGTTCGTGGAAAGATCACTATATTTGAGGAGAATAAGATTTTATCTCCAAGAAATATGGTAAAAAGAATGTTATAAGCTAAATGATTTACATAAGAGTAGTAATTTATTTGATCAGCAGTCTTCATTATATATTTGTTGCATAGTAAGGAAAAGAAACACATTAAACAGCTTCACTTTGGAGGAACTGGAAATAGTGTTTTGGGTATGGTTTAAGTTGTTATTTAAGTCTTCATCATCTAGTAGATAAAATCATATTGAGCCATATAATAAGCCAGCAAAATCTTCTTATTAGAGTATCTTTCCACTGACATGGGATCCCACTGAGCTGTGAACCTGAATCAATAAAATATTTTACATGTTCACATGTATTATTTTTCATACTTCATTCATATATGTTCAGAAACTAAGTGCCAGTTAAATTTTAGCTAAATATATAGTTGTGTGATTTTTGTGAGGCATGCCTCACAACTTAATAAAATGTAAATCACCTGTAGTTCCACATAACTTGCTTTTGTAGACATGTGCTTTTAGCTCGCTTTACATTTACTATCACTCCAAAGACTCTCCTGTAAAGTACCTTCAGCACCGTGGTGTTTTTTTAGTTTGCAAAGCTTGAAGAAAAATCAGATGTTAATTTTCTTTGGGTACTGTTTGGTAACTGAGCTCCTGAAACAGCAGTGGCTTTAAACCTGAGGATAGTTTACTTCTAGACAGAGCACATACATTTTATCTGGTTAATTATGATGATTTGGTAGACTTTCTTTGTGAACCTATGTTTTGAGCAGTTCTCTGTTGCAATCTCAGCTTATTTAAAGCTTACATTCATTCTAGATATTATTCCATGATTGATTTGGAAAGAGAAAATTGAAACTATTTTAGTTTGCTAAAGTTTTAGTGTTATGACTCATGGCAAAAACCTATGAGGAATTGCTGTCATCCCTTCTCATTAAAAATATTTCTGTGGTCATAATCATGTATATAAACAGAATCAACTAAATTTTTAAATGCACATATGAAAAGTCTGTGCCTTACTACCTCTGCCATTTTTGTCTCAGAAGTAAATACTGTCAACTATTTTCATCGATTCTTTGTTATTTACTGCTGTCTTCTAATACTCTGTGTATATGTTATTGAAATAGCAATGCTGAGGATCAAACCTAGGGTTTCACATATGCTAGGCAAGTGCCTTACCGCTGCCCTATACCCTGCGCTCCTCCTCTATTAGAATCTTACTTCCCACTGTGGAGCATGGGTTTCATCTATCTTTCCTCTGAATATTCTTCATGTTCATTTTCTACCTCACCTACCAAATGTACATGTATTTTAATTTTGCTTAGAACAAAATTTAGTTTATACTGTGATTATATGTGCTGTTCTAGTTCTCTACTTAAACTTAGTAAGCTGTTAGTACTTTGCCTTTTCTCATGATCTAGAGCCAGTAATTGCTTTATTTCCCTTAGCATAGCTGGCTGTGTACTGTTTGTGCATTTGTACCTAGTATACCGACCTCTGTGTCTAGTTATGTAACTCACCTTCAGCCTGTTTCACTCTGGACTGGCTGCCTTCACTGCCTTGTACACTCAGCAATCTGTTCTCTCCTTGTCACCATCTTGGGGTGCTTTCAGGGCACTTTTCTGGACAGATAGTGTGCACTGGCTTCATCTCTCTGTAGGCACATTCTTGGAGTCTAGGCCTTTCTTGGTTTACTTTCTCATTTTAGTTCTGCATGTCCTTCAATAGCTTTCTGAGAAAAGGTGTGGCAAAGGGAAAAATTTTTTTAATCTGAGAATGTCTTTTCTTCTTCCTAGATTTTCAGGGCAAGAAAATCGAGTTTGGAAACTATTATCATCCAGAGCTATTCTTAATACTTAGGCCCATTGTGTTTCACCTTTCACTATTTCTGTTGGGAAGTGCAAAGTCATTCTGATTCTTCTGTCTATGTAGATAATGTTGATTTACTTTGAAAGGTTGTAGTATCTTTTCTTTTTTCTTTTTCATAAAAAGGAAGCTTGAAAAAAATTCTTTTTTCCAGTACTGAGGATTGAACTCAGGACCTTGTGCTTGCCAGGCAGGTGCAGCACCACTGAACTACATCCCTGGCCCCTGGCAGCTTGAATTTTAATGGGAACTACTTTGAATTTGCAGATGAATTTGAGAAATACTGACATCTTTAGTCTTCCAATCTGTGAATGTAGAATGTTTTCATTTTTTAGGCTTTACTTTTAACAATTATTTTCTAGTGTTCAGTGTGGAAGTCTTACACTGCTTTTGTTAAATTGATTTCTATTTTTTAATTTATGTATTTTCTAGACAAGGTCTTGCTATGTAGCCAGGCGAGCCTGGAACTCATAATCCTTCCCCAGCTTCACTG